ATATGAATATTGCACAGCAACTTTAACTAAAAAGAACAGACTTAAAATGGCGACGAAATGTTGCAAGTTATTCTATTTAGTAAACCTCTTCCTACATGGAACATTTTTACTGACCACTTTTTTTCTCTATGTACTATCTAGTTAAGTCTCCTTATTCTTACTTCGTGATGCCATTGTAGTTTTTTACGACGGTTCAGCCGCTGGTTTTAGCCGTATTTCCACAAAAGTGGAACTCAAAGGCCGTTCTACATTAAACGCAATGCGACCGACGATGAATAGGGAGCAGATACAATTATTACAGGAGATCCGGGAGTTGCAAAGACGCACCTTAAGGTCGGACGCCGACAGCAGCGACACAGGCGAGCAACAGGAGAATGGCGAGCGAGAGGCAATGCAGGCGCAGGCGCAATTAGAAGCAATAATGGCGTACATTCGGGAGCATAGTGTGCAGCCAGAAGGAACCTCTGAATGTACCACCATTGATCATTATGATCCATGGTGGGAAAACAAAGAGGATTAAGATAGGATAGGAAAAAGGAAAACAACAACAAAAAGATTATAAACAAATAAAGCTGTTGGTGGGATCAAAAAGATTTAGGTAAAAAGGTGATGGACTTTAGGGATATTATTAATTAAATTGTAATAAATATTGTTTATGTACAAAGAATAAAAATATGCGCATAACGAATGTTATTATGATTGTACGAGGGTTTTGTTTGGCAATTAGGAAATTATTTCGCTTTAATATGGTCACGAGTATTATTATTATTATTATTATTATTAGCATTATTAGTATTATTGTGATTATTATGATCATTATTATTGTTACCATCATTATCATTACCATTATTATGATTAGAATGACTATAATTGTGATTATTATTGTTATGATGATTCTTCTTCTTCTTATTATTATTATAATTACTATAAAAAGAAGTATTAGGAGTTACGATTGCTAGGCGCTTCGCGAAGATTCCACACCATTACATAAATTCGGTGATTATTATTATTATTATCGACACCGCGACAAGACAAGAACCAGCCCGAAAATTCTAGAAGGCGAACAAGATGCGAAAGGAACAACAACAAAGATCTCCGGGGAAGTCCAGAAGGTTCCAATACGGGCAAACACTCGAAAGAGCAAGAAAATGGCTGGAGTGGGGGAGCCAAGAATAAAAAGCCAGGCCCGACGCAAGAAGAGGAAGTCGTGGTTGGACAGTCGAAAGTAGCGAAAAGCGAAGGAAAAGAACCGTGTAACGGGAATCGGGGTATCATCGCGATAATTCCCGAGTTGTAAGATTTGTAAAATAACGATTCGTAAAATTATTCAATAAATAGGAAAGAGCGCTATTAACCACCGGGCGGCAAAGCGAAAAATATTGTTACCGCGTAAAAGTGCGTGGTGAAGGCCAAGGAAGTGGTGTAAATAGTTGTTCTATAATTTAAGGAATAAAGAATTTGTTTAAACGGAAGTGATCTGGTAGTCAATCGATTTCCCATCCGGAATTAGCGCAGTTGTTCAAACAGTGCCGTGTGATTGGCTGAGGCAGCGTGTCGAGACGGAAAAGAAGTTAAAGACACCGGGTGCACGAATGGCTGTGAAACACCATTAAAACGGAGACGTCCATTGGGCAGCCGACGAATCAGTGACGAACTGACCGCGTCAGGGCGAAGTATCAGATTGGTCAGATTATTATCGACCTAACGAAGGTATTCTTGACCTGAGGTTTAAGGTAAGTATACATGTATCGCATTAGTACGAGCTGATAACATATTCAAAAAATCGACAGTCGAAAAGGCGAGTTGCATCGTGAAAGAATTCAAGCGAAAAGTTGAAAGTGGTGATAGTGAAAAGCGGTACGTAATTAAGCATATTCAATTAACATTAAAAATCTTGTTGGTGAAAGGGAATAAACCGTCTGGCGACCGTGAAAAAGATAGGACAGTGAGGTAGGAAGTGCAGCAGCATACGAGCGGAAAGTGCAGTTCCGGTCACAGCAAGTATCAGATCTCGTGGAATTGACCAATTGCAGAGTCAAATGAGCCAATCGACCAACGTGTTTGATTAGTTCCACGAGACCTGCTACTTGAGTTTCATTGAGAACAGCCTTTGAGTTCCACTTTTGTGGAAATACGGCTAAAATCAGCGGCTGAAACCGTCGAGAGAAACTACAATGGCATGGCCGCTCTCAGGTTTCTCTCTGTTTGTATACTGGTTTTAACGATTATTCGTAGATCACAGCGCGTATTGTAGACTAGGCTTGCTCCAATCGCAACGGAGCACACTGCATCGAGGGAGACAAGAGTTGGTAGGGAATTTTGTTGGATAGCAGAGAGGTTTAAAGAGATTTAGTGAGGCATGGATTCTGAGGATTAAATGGAGATTTTTGTGCTAGTGACAAATTTGTAAAGAGCGTGCATAGCACGCAGGTTATTAGAAAAGGCAATATCGGTAATTTTTGTGGGCGGGCTAAACCAGCAATGATACAAGTCAATAACAAGCTTGTCAGATTCATCTTTGTATTTCGGGCAATTAAAGAATACATGATCAATATCTTGGCGAGCATGGCCGCACTGACAGGAGGCGGAAACCGAAATATCCTTGTCAGCCAAATGCGCGTTGACCCTGATTTGGAAGGACCTGATACGAGATATTAGACTTACTAAAGGTCTTGGAAGGGGTTTTTTGAAGCACTCATGCCAGGGTTTCCCCAGAGGTACTCTCTTGGCATCAAAATACCTTTTACCTTTAAGTTCCGACTCCTCAAGGAGGAGGGCACGGGAGTCACCCACCAAGCCAGAGCGCAGCGTAGAGAACAAAGCCCTTACGCCACACCTCTCACTCGGACCGAGGACCGACTGACTAAGTGCCACCTTGGCATAGTGGACAGCTCTGTCGTTGCCACGGATTCCCTTATGGCCTGGAACTCACACAAACTTTACGCGAGCACCGCGAGATTGTAATCTATAGACAAATTTCTTTATTTTATAAATAACCGGAGAATGGACACCCCGAGGATCTGCCGACTCTAGACACCTGATCACACTGAGGGAATCGGTGGCAACAGCCACCCGACCAAAACCAAGCTCCTCCACGTATTCGAGGGCGCAAAGGACCCCGGCAGCTTCCGCGTCAAATATGGATGACAGGTCGTGTATCCGCGCGTAATGAACTAGATCTGGATCATAGAACACTACCGCATAACCGGTCCTAGGTGGAACGCCTCCTACTGAAGGTTGCAGCGATCCGTCTGTGAAAAAAACACGGCTTATACTCTCTTTGTTTATGAAGGTAGAAAAGGAACTTTGTGGAAAGGGAGAGGTACGTAGATGAAGGCCGACCTCTGAATCAACTTCACAACTCAAAAACCTAACTAGGTAAAGAAAGCCGAGAGGACCTGGAAGGGAGAACTTTTCAACCTGACTCGTGAGGGGGGCCAGTTTAGCCACCTGATCAAACAGATCAAAACAGTTATCTGTGCAAATAGGTTTCCAGTTTGTGCTGATCTGAGAGAACACAGGACTCAGGGGACGACTAGACCGAGACGTAGTTTTACATACGTACCTGCACGTCAGATACTTACGTCTACATACAAGCGGGTGGATGTTGGTACTATCCAAGAAAACGTTGGTGGGAGTAGTGCGCATAAACCCACATATCAAACGAACGCACGAGTACTGCAGACGATCGAGGACGAGACTCTCTCGAGCACCAAGGGGGGACACCACCTGGCATCCCCAGTCGAGCACGGACCTTATCAGGCCCTTGTAGGCTGTAGACATGACGCTGGGATGAGCACCCCACGTAATACCTGAAATGGCCTTCAATATGTTAATGCGAGACACCACTCGTCTCCTGACTTCGGACACATGTCGCTTCCACTTTAAGGAGTAGTCCAGCCAATCTCCGAGAAACCTGACTGACCACTCAAGTCGGATAGGAGTTCCATTTAACGAGATTTTGATTTTCTTGGACTTAAGAAGTGACTTTGTGTTACGAAGGGAGTTCAGGGCAAAAAAGGTGGCCGTCGATTTTTCAGGAGACAGCCTGAGGCCGAGCTCCTCAAGATAAGAACTAAGATTGCGTAGTGATATGTTGAGCTGTTGAGAGACGTACTCGATGGAGGAATGAAAACAATAAACAGCGATGTCATTAGCATACATAAGTATGTTGACGGAAAGAGGAAGACAAGACTCCACAGTCGACACATACAGACTGAAGAGCAGTGAGCTAAGTACTGACTCCTGGGGTAAACCTCTAGAGGTTGACCTACTTTATAGAGGCATCCCGGAAATATAACCCTCCAAGTTTCTAGACGAGATAACGAAGAATATAAAACCGAGGATCTTGTCTGGAAAGCCCAGAGCCGACAGCATGGAGAGCAGAGTAAAAGGTATAACATTATCAAACGCGCCCTCAACATCCAGAAACACTGCTCCCGTAATCTGCCGAGTATTGTTAGCGATCTTGATTTGCGAGGTCAGAACTGTCAAAGTGTCTATACACGACAGGCCTCTGCGGAAGCCAAACTGGAAGGAGGGAATGATGCTACCATTTTCAACCCACCACTCTATGCGCTTACACATTACTTTCTCCATGATTTTAAGAAGGTTGTTAGTTAGGGATATAGGCCGATAAGAGCCTTTCTTCTCCGGTTTAGGAATGAAAACTACGAAGTAGTCACTCCACTGTTCAGGATACGTTTTCCTGCTAAGCATGTCATTGAAGAGATTAAGAACGACCAAGTGGAGAGCTCGGGGAAAATGTGAAATAACGTTGTTAGATATTAAATCAGGGCCAGGAGCCGACTTGAGTTTAATTGAGCGGATGACAGCAAAATACTCCTCCAGGCTGATGGGAACATCCATAAACGAGCTATCCAGAAAGCTAGGGGGTTTATGGATGTTGGCCAGTATACTAGTACAAGGTGGGGCCTCTACTCGAGTCAATGGAGCAATCTTATCGAAGGCTTTACAACACCCTTCGACGTCAACATTACTACGATTAGACTCGTTGCGTTGATAACTCCTAGCGTGTGAAAAGGCATGAACCGTGCTCCACCCAGAACCAACGTCAGAGTTGGCATGTAGGGAGCTGCAGAAAGTCTTGAAGGCCGAATGCTTTTTCCGGCGAAGAAAACGAGAAACCTCTCTAGACACCCGGATATACTCGTTCAAGTTACGCAGGCTTGAATTGGCTTTGTAAGAGGAGAAGAGCAACCTTCTACGCCTCACCTCTTGTGAGCAAGAGTCGTCCCATCACGGCGAAGGAGGCTTTCGGGTAGGACGCGACGAAATGATCTTCCTAGCGCCAGACACCTCAAGGACTGAGATGATTTGACTTACGAGAAGTGAGTAGTGAGATGTCTGCTCGACATCTTGACCAGCAGCTCCAACACTAAAATTACTGGCAAAGGAGGAGCACAGCTCCTGAAACACGTCCCAGTCAACATTTTTGGTGGAAATGTAGGGACGACAAGGAATCTTGCCGTAAAACCTACTGTTAACACTGGTGAGAACAGGGTAATGATCACTTCCATAGAAAATCAATCACCTCCCAGTGACAGTTAGGAAGAAGGTTACGAGATACCACCGTGAGATCAATAGCCGACCTACGTGAGAGGTCCGACGAAGACCAGGTGTAGCTGCCATTGTTTAGGAGAGCAAATGGGGAGTTGATGACAGGTAGTTCAATTCTACTTCCTTCAACGTTGCAGGAGGAGGAAGCGCTACACCAGAGAAAGTTTCTGCCGTTAAAGTCACCACATATAACCGCAGGATCATACGCTGAACACGTCTGGAAAAACAAATTCCAGAAGTCAGGGTGCGTGTAAGAACCAGAGTTTTTAGAAGGATTGTAAATAGAAAAGACGTGTAGATACTGAGAATCAGTGAGATAAATCTTAGCCGCAATAATTTCAACAGAGTTATCGCGACAGAGGTTTAACAGATACGTATTGTCTACGAGCTGGAATTTAAGATGTTTCGCTACAGCTAAGGCCAAATCTCCACCATGGCGATTGCGATCCGAGGATACCACGTCATGGCAGGGTAACGTGGCAATTAGGAGTTAAGAACGTTTTGCTGAACGCGGCAATTTGAACACAGCTCTCGTGAAGGAGCAGTCTAGCATCATCGAGTTTTCGAGGCAGGGAACGACAGTTCCACTGAACAATTTTTACTGTTTGAGCATGAGCCATCTGTTTTGGTAAAACAACTAGAAGAAGAGAAAATAATGACGACGAGAGCTGTGAATTGACAACTTAAGAATGTGTACGTGATTTACTGTGATATTATGTTACAGATTGTGTTTACAAGATCAGGTAGACTATTTTCATCTTGTGGCAGAGCTTTGGATGTACTGTTGAAATTTAGAATGGCGGTGACTATCTCGCTACGAATTCGAGGTAAAAGGGAGCTAAGGCGACCAGAGCCGTCCACACGACCCGGGGAGGAGTCAG